GTGATCACCACTGTACTTAATAACAGTAACTAATAACACTAATAACTCATAAAGACACACAGTGATCATCACTGTAGAGGTGTTTCTCTCTGTAGTCTGTCAAACTGTGTCCTGTGTTCTGTTTATAAGCTCAGGATCCATTTCTACCGGCGGAATGCGATCGTCTTATTTATGAATTATTTGCGTCTGTACGTTTTGAAATTCAGATTGTGACGTCATTATTAAATAACCCAGAACATGATTATTGTTTCTCTTGAATGATAAAACTCATCAAACCCGACAATCAGGAATGAACAGCCTCACGTGACTGAATGAAAAGTTATTGAGGGAAACATCAGATTATGAAAACACAAATCTCTCTAATAAATGTAGAAAGTTGTTTGAGGTCCTTTTGTTGTTCAGACTACAATGAACATTTATTTAAACCAGATGTTGAATCAGAAATCAGAAGTGTTTGAGGCTCTCTCGCATTTATTCAGCTTTTTAAAACAACGGGACAGATCCAGCACGGACAGTTAGGGAGTGAGGGACATGAAGCACCTGCTGAGACATGATGTATAGATATAGTTATAAATACATCATTATATATATATGCGTGTACGTGTTTTATATTATAGTGAATATTATGATATGATATATATATATTATATTATACTGAGACTATGATAAGATGTCCTGACGTGTTTATCAAAGTGTTATTTACTGTTTTTTTTCATGTTGGAATAAAGGTTAAATATTTAACTGTTACAGTAGTAATGCGTGTTTGATACCTTAATGTTTTTGCATTAAATCATTCTGGGATGTTTGCTGACATTGATTGATGTGGCACAGCCCTACAGAGAACATGTCCACCAGCCGACACTGGAATAATCCATGCAGCAGAGGTCTGATGTGGACAGAGAGAGCAACATTTAGCCAAACACGTGGAAGAAACATCACACAATCTGGTTACCATATTTTAGTTTCTGCACTAACTACAACACACGAGCTTATATATATTTATTTATTTATTTATTTATTTATTTTAATCCCCAACACGCCTCATGATATAAACTGTGGCATTATATTCCTCAAGTGTAACCATGAAACATGTCTTATAGTTCGTTATTGTTCCTGTGGGAGGATGTTACTACATTTCCCATGATGCCACATGCCGGAAGTCCAGAAGTGGAAGCATAAAACGCGGAAGCATGCGAAGGTAAACAAACCCGTCAGTTAGCAACCTCATATTCCAGCAAATGTATCATAATTTGGGCATTTGTAATCGAAATTGTTCGGTTGGAGGCATAATGTCCCCTGCTTATATAACGTGATATATCTCACCTCTGCATGCTGTCTTTGTGCAGTTTGTCCCCGCTGGTCGCAGTTTATCACACAAATTAAGGAAATCACAGATCATTTGAACGCAAAACGTTGACAACAGAAGTGCGTCAGCCATCTCTTCTCTCTGGTGGTGTTTGTAAACCTCCACTGAGGCCGCCAACACGTACAGAGCACGTGTAGCGTCTTCTTTGATATGTATACATTAATATTACCGACCCCTCGATGGCAACCTCTGTAGAAAACAGACCACACAGTGGTCCGAACCAGGACGAGAACAGCTCGCGCAGTCCGAACCAGGACACGTTAACGTTATCGATAACTCGGTCACCTCAGACAGAAGTAGAGGTGGGCGACATGGATACAGCTTCCCATTTCGTAGCATGTAATTAGGTGATGTGTATATTATTTGTAGATTCAAATCCTGCTTATTGATGTGAAACATTGCCTTCAATGACCTACTACACCCAATGATATGAAAGAGTTAAAACGTGTAGAAAATAGATTTAAACACTTTTATATCTTATTACGTTACATAAATAATTGATTAAATGATTAGTCAAACAGCTAGTATCTTGATATTCATTAGTTCCTGCGCGTGTCATGTGACGTTTAGCTGTTTTTCTTATTTTAAACTAAATATCTTTGTGTCTTTGACTGTTAAACAGAATCAACCTGCAGAATGCACCGGGGCCTTCTTTCACTATTTCTCTATTTTATAAACAAAACACTTCATAAATTGATCGAGAAAGTAGTCTGCAGATGAATCGGTAATGAAAATGAAAAGCCGTGATTCTTTTGTCCATCCCAAGACAAAAGTTATGTTTGAACTGCGATTCACTGCTACAGAAATGTTTTCTCTCAAGTGTTGTATTAACAGGTCAGTTCTGTAAGCCGGGACTGTACGCGTCCACCAAAGGGCAGAATCCCTCTCTTGACGTTTGGTGGACGTGTCCTTGTCCTCTACTGTTGTCTCCCACTGAGAGAGTCTGACCCGATGTCTCCGTGTTGGTTCAGAGTGAGCCGGCGGTCCTGTGAGGACGGCCCGCTGCTGGAGGAGCAGGAGACGGAGGGCCAGCGGCAGCTGCGCGGCCTCCTGCTGCAGCAGCTCCACACCGGCGTCGACATCGACCGGTGAGCAACTTTTAACATTGTATAGGTGGAGGCTTCAAATAAGCCCAGTTGGCTTTTTGCCTCTTCCTGCACTGTGATATTCATTTATCTCTGTTATGTTTATTTTGTTGTTTTAATTGTGCAAAATAACACATTTGACACATTTTAGCTCCAAAGATGTACCTCGGTACAATCCTTTGCTTCATGTTATCTGTACATCGGCACCAATGTTCTGAAAAAGAATCCCTACTACGAACAAGCAGAACGTCCTGCAGTGAGACGTGTGTTGATAGCAGATCTTGACGGTGTAAATACCGGTTCACCTCTCACCAGATGAGTTCACTGTGTGACAGTAAAGACAACAGCAAGCTGTGGAGCTCCGTGGTGAAAGTACGCAGTGCCTGCAGCTTTATTCCCACCGGAGCTCTCACTGCTATATAAAATAAAAATCTCTTGTTACTGTGAGGTGCTTTGACAAAAGCGTCCATCACATGCTTGTTACGTGTCCTTCACAGCGTCCCACAGCGCAGCCTGGAGGACTTTCTTTCACACGAACCCCGGGCAACGTATTCTTACTCCTCCATGTTTTTATCTGTAGATTCCCGAGTGCAGAACAACATTTAGGATTTGTAGGACTTTTAAAAAGTGTCTGCAGCTGCTTTTGGCAGAGCACAACAAGTCTTAACTTTGAAGGGACTTCTCTCTTACAGATGTGTCGCCAAGAAGCAGTGCTTCGCCCCATCGGCGCTCTATCGACCGTTTGGGCAACAGGCGGCCGGAGTGAGAAGCCTCTCCGAGTTCCGGGCCCTGCAGGACGGGGAGAAGGACCAGGCCAACTTGCGGGAGCTGGGTCTGACCGAAACAGAGATCCAGATGTGGCAGATCAGAGACGTACCGGCGGCAACGGAGAAGGTAAAACCTGCTGGAGGGACGGGAGGAGCTGGGCTCAAGCCCTGACCTGAAAACATCTGCTTTTATAATGCTCCTTCAAACAACTGGATTTATTCAGGTTTCTCATCAGAAAGTACATTTTACAAGTTTACATTTGAACACATCACGATAACATTATAATTTACCTTCGCCTAATACTCATTTTTACTGAATGGAGCTTGAACGCAACATCATGCTGTATAAAAACCTTTATCCAACGCAGACACCGTCTGACCCGCGGCTTTGTGCCCACACAGCCCCACACCGGTGTGAGTGCAGCTCCAGGTGCGAAGCAGCAGCGCCTGCAGGTGATCAGAGACAAGATTGAAGCCCGGGCGGAGCTCCTGGCTCGCCCACAGCGCTTCGCCGCCAGCCGGCCGCTGTCACGCCGCGAGATGGAGATCGAACAAGCGCTTTTCCAGGGAACGGACCGCCTGGGCTTCCTCGCCGCGCTTTACCACAGAGGTACGGAGGGCAGTCCACTACACCGTGTCCTATTTCTGTCATGATGAAAACAGAGAGGGGGAATGATAAAAGACCTGTCAGAAAGAGAGTGGTGGAGATGGGTTCATCCCAAGAACTGTTCAAAGATATCTCACCTTCAAACAATAAAAAAGAAAACAGAGACACATCAGGGTTCTTCACATGCTGTGTCTAAAAACACCAGTCGAGCCACTTTCATCCTCTTCTCTGCTTGGGGCGATGAGGAGGAAGTTGCGGTGCTTTAGCAGTTAGCCTCACTGACTAAACCAAACAGAGATAAATGGATTTCCAGCTCCGTCAATCCCTCACAGCAGCTCTACTGCTCCATTTGACTGCGACAGTTCGTCTGACCTTTCAACGTCGTTTTGTTGTGACGATGTTAGACGGAGAGGGTGAAGCGATTAAAATAGTCCTCGGGACAGATCGTAAAGCTCTGGGTAGCCCTGCACTGAAATATGAACTTCTCCATAAATTTACTGTGAATTACTGAGGAAAGAAAAGACATCTGCCGGCTGTGATTGGTTGTTCCTCGTCACATGACATGCGCTGCAACTTTCCAGAAGTTGAACTATTTTTTATCTCAGCCACTTGGGAGTTCTTAGAGACCGTTGGGAGTGCTTGAGAACGGTCGGGAACGGTTGTGAGGCTCGGGCACCACACTGGTGTCGCTCTCACGAATGAGCGTGCCTTTCGTGCGTCTACATTGACATCAATGGATTTTAGGTCGTAAAAAAAGACGCGGATTGGGAACGCCCCCTTCATCTCACATTTCAGTCGCTTCACAGATTTAAGAAACTCAATCTGTTTTTACCTTCCTAGAAACTGAGATCTAATCTATGTCTCAAATCAATCGTGTGCTCTGGGAAAGATTTTTTCAAAATAAATTAGAATGAGTAAAGTAGGAAAATGTGAAAACAGGAGGATGAATGAAACGGTTCAAAACAACCGCTCAGTGAGAGAAATGCAGTCAAACAGCCTCTGTCGTGTCCCATAAGTCCACGTCAGAAGATCTCATCTGTGTAGTTTTGTTTTCTCTCACAGATGAAGATACCCAGGAGAGCCAGGAGGGGGCGGCGTCCTCTGATCCGATGGACTCTCTCTACAGAGACGTTCTCAACAAGGAGAGAAAACCAGCTGCACAAACAACCGGAGCAGCACACCTGTCTACACACAGACTCATATCTGACCAATCACAGGGCTCACAGACAGACAACCGAGCAGAAGAAGCCTCTGACCATCAACCACAACTGCAGGGTGAAGGCTTGTCAGTACCGTCAGAGTCCATTTCAGAGCAGCAGCTCGCTCAAGACGGACCGGGGCCGCCACCACCAGCTGCTCCGACACACATTAATATACGCCAGCCAATCGGCAGTCTGCGTGGAGCGACCAGGGCGACGACACGGGGACCGCTGACTGTCAGAGGGGACATAGAGACCATCTCAGACGAAGACATCCTGAAGGACCGGGAATCTGGGGAGGGGGTCCGGAGCATCCCGAGGTTCAGAAACTACCAGCCGGGGAAACCCTCCAAGGTCTCGGCAGCTACATCTACAAGTGTTTGTTACTGTGTCGACCAGATGGTCCTGATGCACAGCTCAGACTGTCAGCTGGAGGCTAGCTAGCTCCAAGGCTGATGGTTTCCATACACACAGAAAAACAAATGTGTCATCTTAGGAATATTAGCTCCCAGTCAAAAGCAGTGCAAAGATTCAAAAAGTGTTTAAATGTATGAAAGTGAGGATGCACTTCAATCTCAACGTGTGTTTATTTAACAGCAGAATATATATTTAAATGTTAAATCCACTTCTACATTTCATCTATAAACAGTATTTCGATGAACGACACACACAATAACATCAGAGACGCAGTACACACACACACACACACACACACACACACACACCAGCAGTTTGAAACTCTAAAGTTACTACAAGGAACTTTCATTTTGTGTCTGTTTTGGCGTCCTCCTGTGAAGGGAAGCGGTAGTGTTTCCATGAGGACCACTAAAGACCTGCAGCTGCCAGACTCCCTTTAGAAACCTCTCATCTTACTGCAGCAGGGTCTGACAGTCTGCCCCGCTCAAGTCCTGGTTCTGGTTCTCCCGTGCCTCCCTTCCCTTTAGCAGGACTAGCGATACGTCCTGGGTCTCCAGCAGCGTAAAGAATAACTCTATAGAAACAGACCATCTTCTCTCTGATGGTCTGTTTACTGATGGAGGTCTGATAGAGGATCAGGACTAAACTTGTTTTTCTCGTGCGTCTCCCTGTAGGTTCTGTGCGTGAAGAACCTGAGCGCACAGGCCTCAGCGGCCCAGCTGGTGGCGCTGTTCTCCAGGTTTGAGCGGGAGAACGGGCCGCCGGTGCTCTACCGCCTGCTGACCGGGAGGATGAGGGGTCAGGCCTTCATCACTCTGCCCGGTGAGGAACAGTCTGAGGGACGGACACACGGACCAACCACATGCACTAACAAACCACAGCGAGCTGGCTTCCTGTTTCCCATCATGCATCTCACATTAGATCATCGGGTGTGTTTGTGTTTTCTTTGGCAGACGCTGAAACGGCCCAGAGAGCCCTGCAGTTGGTCCATGGATACCGGATGCTCGGGAAACCTTTGGTGGTGGAGTTTGGCCGCGAGCGACGGGAAGAAGAGAAGCAGGAGGAGAAGCAGGAGGAGAAGCGGGAAGAGAAGCAGGAAGAGAAACAGGAGGAGAAGCAGGAAGAGAAGCAGGAAGAGAAACAGGAGGAGAAGCAGGAAGAGAAACAGGAAGAGAAACAGGAGGAGAAGCAGGAAGAGAAATAGGAAGAGAAGCAGGAGGAGAAACAGGAGGAGAAGCAGGAAGAGAAACAGGAAGAGAAGCAGGAGGAGAAACAGGAGGAGAAGCAGGAGGAGAAGAAATAAAAGATCCTCCAGGGCTGAGACGGATGTGATTATATATATTTATTTATATATTTCCTGGATAAAATCTGTTCATCTTTGCATTTTAATAAAATGTTTGTCATGAGCGTTGCAGTAATGTTTAATTTTTTACTCTTTTCTTATTTTGATAAAACATTATTTATGACAATAAAAACTGTCAAACAAATGACATTAAAAAAAACCACAAAACTAAAGACAATAAATAATAGCTGAAGGTTTTGATATTAATACAAATGCTCTTACTGGGACATGCTGTTTCACACTATTAAAATGTATATTTTAATTACATAAAGAGAACATTTCCTCCATCTTCTTCCAGGGAATTAAATATCTATCAAATTAATCTCCAGACTGGACATCATTAAATCATTAAATATTTGTTATTTATACAATAAGATTAGGTGAGAAATCTACCAATTAATAATAATTCTATATCAAAATAAAAACCTGTAATTCTTCTTTTGGACACTAGATGGAGCCATTCAGCCGTCGCAGGTGAGTGTGCTGTTAAAAGAGCAACTGGAGGTTAAATAAAGTTTAAGACAGAACACACATAATCCCGGTAACGTCTCATATTTCATTGTATCCTCACATTAATATCAGTAATGTACTGCAGCGCTGAGCGGAGCATAGTTGTCCTTTGTGTTTCACTTTTTAAGGCACAACCAGGCTTTTTCTTGAGGACACGATAAGAAGAAACTCTTTGTTGTTGTAGCTTACTTGTTTCCGAACAGCCGAATGTGATTATTCGTGCTAGTTTTATTCTCGTGGAATTGAAATTAAGATATTGGACAAATGTGATGAGGACAGATTTCTTTAAATTGTGGCTGCAGCTTTTTGATTGCAGAGCATATTTGGAACATTTTGAGTTGACCGTCTTAGCACAACCAGGCCTCAACAATGAGGATGAGAGAAAATAAACAATTTCTCCTAATTTATTGGTGAAATGTTCATTTTTAGTGACAAAGTGCGACCTTATTGATGCAACAACTTGTTTCTTAGTGAGCACCATTCATCGGTTTTTGCACCAGTTTGCCTGAAGTGGCCTCTGCAGCAAAGACTACATCTGTGCTTGTTTACTGTATGTTTCTGGGATGTTTGTCTTTCCCATATGCTCAGTGTGTGTGTGTGTGTGTGTGTGTGTGTGTGTGTGTGTGTTACTTGTCCACTTATCTCTGGTGTTCTATCGGTCAAATGTGTGCTGGTTGAACCAGTTCAGTTCCTGACACCAGGACTCGGGGTCCTCACTGGTTTGTAAATCTGCACCCTAATCATGCACCTCTCCGGTTTTAGATCCTTCACTGAACTTTACTTTACAAGAACTTTAAAATAAAGAGTCACCCGGTTTGGTGACTGTTAACTGACCCCAGTCCACATGTACGTTTTGGTCTCACGACTCACCCGCAAGTCAAACTGAAACTGCGTATTGATCGGACTGAACTGGTGTCTTTGTTTGTTTAAGTGTGTTTGTGTTGATCTTCTGTTTGCCTTCAGTTCAGGGTCGTGATCTTTCCCCATTCTATTCTGTGGAAACACCAACGAGCCTTCGTGCGCCAGTTATCGTCTGTTTCTACTTTAAAGTTGTTGTTTAATCGTTTTATACAATACAGACGTTTTAAAGGAAATGATACATCTTAACAACATCTGTATTTATAGAAATGTTGTGTTTCAGTGTGAATGCAGAATGTGCATGTGGTGCAGAAATGAGACAGATTCTTGGTTCTATTCTGAACTATGTCGCTCACTGTTCAATGCAGATGTCTACATTTATAATCATTCATGGTGTTCCATAAGGAGGGCAAGCATTCAACAACATGACAATAACAAAAGTTAGCGTTTATCACCAAATAAAGAACTAGGAACAGATTTATATATGTTTTAATCAGGTTTGTTTTCATGCTCTGTAAATACATCTATGATGAATCAGTAGAACATATAAATCAGCTGAAGGAGGATGAAACAAAGAGAGCACAGCTGGCTCCACTGTGTCCGTCCCTCTGATGAGAACGAAGTCTCAATATGCTGAAACACATGCTGCACCATGACTCCGTAGGACAGTGACAGCAGCTGATCCTCAGGCTGGTAGAAACCAGTGATCTTCACACTAATGTGTATAAATATGCGTCCAGTGCAGAGAAGGAGAACTCCCACTGCTGATGAAAACCTGACCACTCAGCAAACATTAATCATATGTCAGCCTGAATATATCAAACTGTATGTCAACCCAAATAAACGGACATGTTCACGCTATGATAGTGATGATAAGGCACAATATTCATTAGTGTGAAAACAGCGTTGAAAAAGTTTGTTTCTGAATTGTGATCAGGAAGAAAACTACGTTTAGATTTGGTTACATTTCTATTGTACTGAAATATGTAGTATAGAGCAGAGGTGAGGACGAGTCATTGTTTCACAAGTCATCGGGAAGTCCCAAGTCAAGACAGACAGGTCCGGGTCAAGTCCCAAGTCAAGACAGACAGGTCCGGGTCAAATCTCAAGTCAAGACAGAC